CGGGGAGAGCAGCGGGGGGCCGCGGAGCTGGAGCCGGGGCCAGAGTCGGCGCGGGGGCCGGGCCAGAGCGGGCTCCAGCGATATGGGGTCCGCAGACTCCAAGCTGAACTTCCGGAAGGCGGTGATCCAGCTGACTACCAAGACGCAGGTGCGCCCCGGGGCCTCAGCCTCCCCATCCACCTGCCGGGCTGGGGGCTGGGCGGGGGCGGAGGCTGCGCGAACTTGGCTCTGTGGCTGGTGGGCCACGCGGGGCCTGGAGCCCGAGCCGGATCTCCCGCTTGCACCCCGGGGCTCCATGCGTGGCCCCCGCTTCCCACCCCTTCCCCCTCTCCTGGGAGCACCTCGCTCCCCGAAGCCGCCGTGCCACCTTCGGCTGACGTGGGCCTTCCTCCGCGCCCTCGCAGGGCTCCACGCCCCCGGCCTCTCCCTCGCCCACCCACCCTCTGCCGGGCGCGCTCCCCGCCCTCCTCTCCGTGCCCACGGGTCCGGTACGCTGGGCCCCGGCTGACTCAATGCAAACAAAGCCGGCCAGCGCCTGCTTGGGTCAGGAAAACAGCTGGTGCGCGGCCGCGGCGGCCTCGCCGGGCCCGGGTCGATGCCTCCGAACGGGGGAGGCCTAGGTCTTTCTGGGAACATCAAAGAGTGGCGGGCAGCAAGGGAGCCGGGTAAGGGGATCGGTCCCCAGGCCTGCAGAGTCCCCTGGTTCCCGGCTGGAGAACGCTCCAGGGGCTCCTCCTCCTCCTCCTCCGGGCCCTGCGGTGCCGGTATGTTATGTTCTCCGGTTCAGGATGGCCGTGGTCTCTCCCGGGGGAGCTGGCGGTCCCTTTCAGCCTAGTCCCTGCTTGCACACTGTCTCTGAGTCCACAAGTGGCACAGAGGCCGCCGCCTCCTTGTCCCCAGCACATACGATTTGTCCCCAGTACGACCAGATCCTTGCTCACCCTTGCTATCCTGGCCCCTTGAATGAGGCCACCCTGGCAGCATAGATGCCCAGTCTTGATTCCTCAGGTCTCTCATTTTCAAGGATTTCCTTGACTGTTGCCATCTGAGACAGCCCTCCCCCAAGCACTCAGGGATTCTTTCTTGCTCCTGGCAGGTAGAGTGGGATCAAGAGAGCCCTCTCCCACTGCCCCCAGGCGAGAACTCTGCTCCCACCTTCTCATCCCTGCCCTGGAAAGGTCAGGTAGCTGGCAAGCACTCAGAGTCTCTGGAGAATCCAGCCCCAGTGGAGAGGCGCTTGATACAAACCAGACCTGGTTGTTTCCATTTCTCATGGCTCCAGGCTAGTTGTGAAGCTAGGCATGGGGCTTTAGATCTTCGGGTTGCAGAGGGGGTGGCTTGTGGGCCCACCTCTTAACGTGGGGCCACTGGGAGAGGAGCAGGAAGACCCCCATGTTTACCTAAGTGGGAAAGAGACAGAGAATGTGCTGTGGGCTCGGCAGCTGGAGTCTTTTGCCAGGCCGGCAGGATGAGCCCAGCCAGGGCCCAAAGGGTCTGCAATGGCTTAGAGTCCTACTGCTCCAACTGTAGTACCGGTGTGCCTGTATTTCTCCCTCTGCAGCCGCTAAGCTGTTCTGTTTCTTATCTGAGGACAGTGAGTGGTTTGGACAAGGACCGGGAGTGCCTGGAACCCTGGGTCTCCTGGAGAACACCAGGTTCTGCAGGTGGGATGGGATCTGGCTGCCTGGGAGGAGGAGATTGCAGTAGCTGAAGCCTTGGACCCTGTGTAGTGATCTGGCTTGGGCAAAGACCAGATTCTACATTGTCATCCTGGAATTTACCACTCAGTGTCCCCAAGGAGATTCGGACCAGTTGTCCACCTGATGACCTCTGATTTCAGGCCCTAGAGGCTGTGCTTTGGGCAGCAGACAAATGGACCCAGAACCCTTTGCAGTGGCCCAGGCTGCTGCTGCTCAGCTTTCCCTGCCTTCCTGCCTGGCATCCTGTTTTCTTCCTGCCCCATAGTTAAGCCCCGGGCCAAGCCTGACCCTGATCCTGAGGACCAGCAGCTGTGGCTGTGTTTCTTGACCTTTTCCCAGGGTGCGTTGGCCCTGGAGGTGGAATATTCCACGAGTTGAGACTCTCTTTTCTAAATTCTGTTTGGGGATTTTTAGGCCAGATGAGATGTGGTGGGTGCATGCTCACATGTGTGCAAATGTATGTGCATGTGAATGCTGTGTCATACGGTCCTCCAGGACAGGTCGTCCATAGCAGGCTAGAATACGGCTGGGTTAGTCCCACCCCAGCCGGAAAGACTATCAGAGGCTGCAGCTGGTCCCCCAGGCTTGAGCAGGAGTCTAGCTTGAGAAAGAGCCTGGCAAAACTTAGTTAAGAATACGTGCTTTCCCAGCAGGCTGGCGCAATCCCATGTCCTTAGCAGCAGAGGCTGAGCAAAGATACTCTTCAAAGAAACTAGCTTGGATTTTATAGCTTCTTTGGGTTGGGTAGAGGTCAGCTGAGGTCACTGGGATAGGAATTAGGCCATGTCTTTGTCTTCGGAAGCCTAAAGGGTCTCAGTGTCCCTGGCTAATGCCTATATGGTAAAAAAAGAAAAAAAATGGTCACTAGCTGGGCGTGGTGGATGATAGCCCTTGGGAGACTGAGGCAGGATAGTCACAAGTTCAAGGCTAGCCTGAATTACACAGCGAGACCCTATCTCAAAAAAATCCAACAAACCAAAACCAAAATTGTTACCAAACGTGAATATCCAAGCTGCAATGAGAACAAGAAGAGAGGCCCATGCTGAGGAAAGGGAGAGAGAGTCTTGCGCCTGAAGAGATCCCGTTTCCAGACCAGGATGCCCTAGGGTCTCCTTAGTTGTTCTTGAGTCTCTGCCCCATTTATATTATATTTTATATCATATTTATCAGTACTGGGATTGAACCCAGGGCCTTAAACATGCTAGGCAAGTCCTCTCTCTATCACTGAGGTACATCCTCAGCCCTTTTTATTTTTATTTTGAGACAGGGTCTGGCTAAGTTACCTAGGCTGTGTTTGAACTTATGGTCTTCCTGCTTCAGCCTCCCAGAGTACTGAGATTACAGGCATGCACTGCCACACCTGGCTTCTGTCCTCCTTTTAAATTCACTATCCAGGCAGTGAACTAGAGGCCCACTCTTCACAGGTCATGTCCACTTGGTGCTTGGCCAGGCTTTGGCCCCTTTAAGGAGGTGGTGACTCCCTGGGAGGGGGGCAGAGTGTCAGAGGTGGCAGTTGCCCAGTGGTGCTCCCACATGGGAGCAGCTCTGTGATTTTCTGGGGTGGCATTCCTCGTTGTGGCCTCAGACACCCCAGACTGAGGTGTGATGCTCCTGTACCCCCTACAGGTCAGAGGGCTGCTGGGAGCCACAGGACAGCAAACCCCAGCCCCAGGGCCCCTCCTTTGGCCTTTGTTCCTCTACCCCAGGCTAACTCGCTCTACCAGTTCTGGGGCTGACACCTATGCCAGGCCTGTCCTGAGGGCCATGGCCACAGGCTACTCTGCAGCTCCCTGGGGTGGGCATGGGTTAGGGTATATAGCTCCCTCCTTCATCCTCACCCAGGGCCCTGACTGGAGGGATCTCCAGGACGGCTTCTGGCTTCTGCTAAACAAACACTGGCTGAGTACCTGCTGCATTTGTCACCTGCAAGGCCAGGGAAGAAGGCCAGGTGGGCTGACAAGAGCTGCTAGACCTGAGACGGGGTCTATAATAAGCAGGGGTTGGGACGGAGGTGCCCAGGTGGGCTCTGTGAGAATTCTTGGAAGAAGGGTTTTCAGAGAACAGAACTTCTGTCTTCATACGATACACATTTCTTTCTGATGATAAGGACCATGTGTATGCAGTGCAGATGTGTGCTGGTGGCAGGGCCATTAGGCCTTTGTGAGCCCTAGAATTTCAGAAAGAGAAAAAGCTCTGTGGATCAGAGTAGCCAAGGGAATGTCTTGCAGGTGAGCTTCAGAAAGGAGCGGGGACTGAGGGAGCATCCCTGGCCCTCAACAGACAAAAGGAAAAAATAAAATAGGTGCTCAGCCAGAAAACAAAACCATCCAGAGCCGGGCATGGTGGCACATACCTGTAATCCTAGCACTCAAGAGGCTAAGGCAGAGCCAGGCGTGGTGGCTGGTCCAGTACTCCAGAGGCTGAGGCAGGAGGATTATTGTGAGTTCGAGACCAGCCTGGCTACAAAGTGAGCTCAAGGCCAGCCTGAACTGCCTAGCGAGATCCTGTCTCAAAAAGACAAAAAAAAAAAAAAGAGGCTGAGGCAGGGGGATTACTGTGAGTTTGAAGCCAGCCTCCTGCACTCCAAAACAAAATCTTGTCTCAGAAAAAACCCAAACCAAACCAAACCAAACCACAAACAAACCCACCCAGAGAGGTTGTTTTAACATCCTGATATTAATACAGAATTTCACACAAAATTGTGATCATCCCATAGGTAGTTCTATATCTTTTTTGTTTTGGGGGGTATTGGGGGTTGAACCCAGGATCTTTGCACTGAATTATTTCCTCAGCTCTTTATTTTTAATTTTGAGACAGTGTCTCATTCAGTCACTAAGTTGCCCATACTGGACTTGAACTTGCAATCTTTCTGCCTCAGCCTCCCAGAGTGCTGGGATTATAGATTGTGTACCATTGTGCCCAACTGGTACTTTTATATCTTATTCTTTTTCAACATAATATTATACCATGAACATTTTCTGTTTGTTTCTGTTCATTGAAAATATGATTTTGATGGCTGCATAATGTTCCATTGTGTGGATGTGATTTAGCTTTGTAAGCAGTCCCCAGTTATTGGTTAATAAATTCCAACTTTTCACTGTTATCAATAATAACTATTATCAACAGTAAACATTCTCGTATACCACATCTCTAATTATTTCCGTGAGTGAAATTTCTAGAAGTAAAATTCATCCTTCAAATTCACTGCCTTAAAAAAATTTCATTGCCTTGGTTATCTGTAAGACTATGTGATTCAAAGAGCATGTATGTTTTTAAAACATGTTACTTAAATGAGACAAGTAGGACTTCTGTTTTGTTTCTGGCTTTTCTCTTGTACCAGGAATCGAACTCATGACCTTCCGCTTGCCAAGCAAGCACTGTGCCCCTGAGCTAAGTCCCCAGCCCCAAGCAGGACTTTTGTTTGCTTGGTTTTGTTTTTTTGAGACGGGGACTTACTTTGTAGCTTGGGCTAGATTTGAACTCACTGTGTAGCCCATTGAACTCTTGGCAGTCCTCCTGCCTCAGGGATTGGCAGTCCTCCTTCCCCAGTGCAGGGATTACTGACATGTGTCCAGCTAAGACTAACAGGATTCTGAATGCATTGTTGGGGTAGGGGAGCATGCTGGGAGAAGGGGATAGCTTGGATGAGGGCAAAGAAAAGAGACAGTGGGGTCATGTCCTGGGGATAGCGAATACAGGCTTACAGTTTGCATGTGTGCGTATGTGTGTGCATGTATACCCAGTGTGATAAAAACACAGTGAATTTTTTGGTTGTTTTTTGAGACAGGGTAGTTCATGTGGTCCTTGAACTCACTATCTAGCCCAGGCTGGTCTCGAGCACACTGTAATCCTCTTGCCTCAGCCTCCTTAGTGGTAGGATTACAGGCATTACCATGATGCCCAGCTGTATAGTGAATGTTTAAATAGAAATTTATTACAGTAAAAGACACATTGCCATTAATTCCCTCACAGTACTCCCCTTGCTTCAGACACACTTATCCCGTTATCCTTGCCACTTTCTGAAGCAGTTCTGGACCTGTTCTTTTGTGGATGTCTTTACTTCTGCTGTCATGGCAGCCTGCATGTCCTGACGACCATTTTGACTTTGGGGAAGATCCAGAAGTCACATGGTATCAGATCTGGTGAATAAGGTGGATGAGGACATGCCATAATGTCTCTGACAGAAATTGTTGTAAATGTTTTTTTTTTGTTGTTGTTTCTTCCGGTACCAGGAATCAAACTCACAACCTTGCTCTTGCCAGGCAGACGCTTTGCCACTGAGCTAAATCCCCAGCCCCTGTTGTAAATGTTTAGAATTGATTCTGGACCTTGAGGCAGATATGAAAAGACACTCATGAAGGAAGACTTCTAGAGCCGCTTCAGAGAGTGGCAGGAATGATGGGATAAATGTGTTTGAAGTGAGGGGGGAAGTATTTTGAGGGGACTTGATAGCAATATATATTTTATTATAATAAATTTTTATTTTAATGTTCACCTTTTTATCACACTGATATGTACGTGTGTATGTATGCATGCCTGCATGCGCATATGCGGGATGAGCGTGTAAGCTATGTTTAAGGAAGATCTTGGCTATTGGGCCAAGGGTTAGACTTGATCCAGCAGGCCGTGTGTGAGGCAGTGGCGACTTTAGCCCTGCGCTTTGGCACCTGTTTGAGGGCAGCGTGGAGACAGGATTGAGGGAGGTAGATTTGGGGGGCGGAACCCAGGTGAGAGTGACCTGAACTGTAGCATTGGCCAGTGGTGGAGTGCATGCCTGTGATCCTCAGATTCACCAGGTTTGGAATCTGGCAGGTGCTGAGGGGAGGGATAAGCTGGTGGGGAGGAGAAGGAAGAGGGCTTGGTGACTGGAGATAGATGTTCCCGTGTCACCTGTTCTCATGGTCGTCTTCCTGTGGGGGGAGAGCGCATCTTGGCCTGGGTCTCTGTACATTTGGCCTACTGCTGTTGCCCGGAGCTGTGCCCAGGTGGGCAGGTCAGTCCGTCCTGCCAGAGGAGGACAAGGACTCAGCCAGGGACATGCAGGCCCTCGGGGACTGGGTTGGGTTCTGGCTCCCGGACTCAGCACCCCGCTGACCCCTGACCATGCCCATGAGTGTGCCAAGCATGACCTGCTGGCCGTGGCTTGTGGCAGCTAGCGGATGTCCCTCGTCTCTGTGGGGGAGAGTCCTGGGCACCAGCCGAATGGAGTAGGGGGGCTGTGGCTTTGCTCTCAGGGTCTCTCGTGGGCACATGTTGGGTAAACTGTGTCTCTGTTGGCACGAGGTTATACAACTCTGGACACTGGGTTCCTCCCCAGCCTGTGGAAGCCACTGACGACGCCTTCTGGGACCAGTTCTGGGCGGACACCGCCACATCTGTGCAGGATGTGTTTGCACTGGTGCCCGCGGCAGAGATCCGGGCTGTGCGAGAGGAGTCACCCTCCAACCTGGCCACCCTGTGCTACAAGGTGAGGGCTGCCTGACCCTCGCCACCGCTGCCACTCTCCCTAGAACAGCTGATGCAGTCCAGTCTTCGATGGGAGAGGGCAGGCACCCAGGACACCCCAGCCCCAGGCCCCCATGGTCCTGAGTCTGCACCCAGTGCCCCCCCCTTTGGCGGCCACCATTTCTGAGGCACGGGCAGGTCTTCCTGAGCACTCTCCACAGAGCCCGCCCTCTGCTCGCCCTGCGGGGTGGTATTGTTAGCGTGGCCATTTTACAGAGGAGGAGACCAAGGCTGGGGAAGCGTTGTCACTTCCAGGATCTTGGACACTGAGGGGTCTGGGATTTGCTGGCCTCGTGCTCCGTGCTGCTCTTGCTCACGGGCTGGCAGACTCCCTGCCTCTGCCCTCAGCAGCCTGAGTGTCCCCCACATCCCCTAAACCCCAAGTGCCAGGGCCCCAGCCCGCGTGTCCAGCAATCCTCTGCTGCCCGTCCCCGCAGGCTGTGGAGAAGCTGGTGCAGGGAGCCGAGAGCGGCTGCCACTCGGAGAAGGAGAAGCAGGTCGTCCTGAACTGCAGCCGGCTGCTCACGCGAGTGCTGCCCTACATCTTCGAGGACCCTGACTGGAGGGGCTTCTTCTGGTCCACAGTGCCCGGGGCAGGGCGAGGAGGGGTCTGTGGGCGTGGCCAGGGTGGGCGGGAGGTGACAGGGTGAGCGCACTTTCGGGGCCACACTCCTCCAAACCTTTTCTGGCATTTGGGAAGCTCAGGGGTGGGGAATGGGAGGTGCTGCTGAGGGATGGGGGTCCACACCATCTGCTTTGGTTGGTTTGGGGCCCACAGAAGTCCATTTCCTCTACCTTTGCCGCTACGCCCTGGGGGACTGCCTGGACCCAGTCTCTGTCCTCTGCCCCCTCAAGCTCTGGGACCACCCCTGCTTGGCCAGCTCCCCCTGAGGCATCCTGCTTCCTCAGCAGGGTGAGGAGGAGGACGAGAATGCCCGGCCCCTGGCTGAGTCCCTGCTCCTGGCCATCGCAGACCTGCTCTTCTGCCCGGACTTCACCGTCCAGAGCCACCGGCGGAGCACCGTGGTGAGAGCCCACCCTGGCCCTGCTGAGTGGGCCTTGCCTAGGTTGGGTGAGGCCAGCTGCAGTTCCCTTGAGCAGCATGCAATCAGTGGGGCCCAGGGTGCTCCAGGAAATCTAGGCTGCCTGGCACGCGTGTCCCTGGCCGGGGGCGGTGGCGATACAGCTGGAGGGGAGCCAGCGGGTGCCTGCCCTGCCCCCTGTCTCCCCGGGCTGCGCACAGGCAGCCGTTGTCCTCGCCGCCCAGGCTGGGGTGGTGTGCAGGGCTGGCCCGTGCACTTCCTGTGATTCCACGGCGTGGACTTTGAGTCTTCGGTGCCCCCAAACACCACTGGGGGAAACCCGTTCCCCACCTCTCCCTCCCTCCTTTCTCCCTTGGGCTGGACTGAGCCAGGAAAAGAATCAGTATAAGAAAAATGAGCTTCCAGGAAATCTAAGAACATTCACTTCACCCCTATGCATCAGGACTCAGCCTTCGGAGGGTCTGTCTTAAGAGACCGTGAGGCGTGGCGGGGGTTGGGTTGGCTGGCTTCTGTCTCGCGCTGCTGCTGTTCTTGCAGCCCTCCACCTGCTCTCTCCCTGTCCCTGTCCCTGTCCCTGTCCCCAGGACTCAGCCGAGGACATCCACTCCCTGGATAGCTGCGAATACATTTGGGAGGCGGGTGTGGGCTTCGCTCACTCCCCCCAGCCTAACTACATCCACGACCTGAACCGGTGAGCTTGGCTCAGGCCCAGGGCCCCTGGTCTAGCTGGACCCAGGTGGGACCCCTGCCTGGCTCCGCAGAGGACCCTCCCCTCTGTGATGCAACCTTAACCCTGCGGAGATGGACAGGGATTGTTTCTGTGGGCCTGGGTGGGGGGTGCTGGCCCTAAGTGCCCTCCTTTACCGACCCCTCTCCAGGATGGAGCTGCTGAAACTGCTACTGACGTGCTTCTCCGAGGCCATGTACCTGCCCCCAGCTCCTGAAAGTGGCAGCTCCAACCCGTGGGTTCAGTTCTTTTGTTCCACGGAGAACAGGTGAGCGGCCTGGTGTCTTTCCCTTCTCTTCTGGTTCCAGGCTCCACTGAGCTGGGTCAGGGCCGGCTCTGAGGCTTCTCGGAGGGGTGCTGCCCCTTGGTGGTGATGAGCTGTAACTTTGCCACACATTATACAAGCGCTGTCCGACACAGCCTTGGCATTGTGACCCAAACAGGAACTGGGCCCCTGGGGTGACCCCTATCCGGGTCCTTCTTCTGGAGCCATGGTGTTCAGTAGAAGTATAATGTGAATCATATGTATATTTTGAGATTAAAATGTAAAAAAGAAACAGGCAAAATTAATTTTAAAAAGACTTCATTTAATCCAGTGTATAGGAGCTGTGGTCAAAATATATGGTGAATGTTTAAATTAAAAAGTGTGTAACCGTGAGGCACATTGCCATTCGTGACCCTCACATTATTACCCCTTGTTGTGAGCGCACCGAGCCACTTTCTGAAGCTGTCTGGAAAGTCCTCTTTTGTGTCTTTACCGGGGTGTGATCCAAACCTCGGAGGGTGCTCCTGCTGAATACCGTCCAGTGGAGAGGTGACCTGTACTGACGCTGTGGGTGTCCTCACCCACCTTGTTCACTGGATCTGGTGCCGTGAGATTTCTGGTTCTTCCCCAAAGTCAAAACGACCAGGAAAGGTAAACATTTTGAATCGATTCAGAACATCGAGCCAGTCCTAACCGTGCAACTAAAGACACTCAGGAAAGAGGATTTCCGGAACTGCTCCAGAAAGTGGCAAGAATGATGGGACGAGTGTGTCTGAAGGGGGCTAATGGTGATATATCTTTTACTGTAATTAATTTAAAAACATTTAAACATTCATTGTATGTTTCAACCACATCTCACTAAAAAATTAGCGCTTAATACATAATCATGATACAGAATTATTCAGTTGTTTTCGACATCCCTTTTCTCATGCTACTTTTTCAAAATTCAGCGTGTGGTTTATACTCCCGGCCAAACTCAATTCAGACTAGCCGCATTGGAGGCGCTCCATAGCTGCGTGTGGCCTGTGGCTGCCCGTGGGGACAGTGCGGGGGCTTGTGGGACAAACACCCTGATGGAGGAAGCCTGGCCTGCATGGGGACGCTGGTGGGCTGCGGGCGCCCTGGGGAGTGCATGCTGGTGCAGGGTGGCGTATGTGGAGCAGGCACTTGCATTCCACTGTGCCCAGGCTGGCAGCATGGGAGCCAGTGCCCTAAGGCTGGCTGTCGTCTCTCCTGTATCCTGCTGCTGACCCCTCTGCGGTGTGGCGCGCCACCTTTGGGTTGTGCTGGCCTCTGGCCCAAACTTTTTGCTTCCCCCAGAAGAGAAGGGAGCCCAGGTGACCCCCACCACTAGCCCCAGTCAAAGACTGGCCAGAGTTTTCTTTCTTACAGTCTTATCAGGCACGCTGCCATCCTCTGTCACTCGCTTAACCTCTCTGGATTTCAGTTTCCTCACCCGTAAGATGAGGAGCTTGAACCCTGACATCTTACAAATCTGATTCAAGTCCTTCTGTGGCCTGGCAGCTGGGTGATTGAGCCCAGGCTCATCTCCCTGGGCCTCCAACCTTCCCCGAAGCCCCGATGGAGGGTGTCTGTCCCTCAGAACCTCAGGGTTATGAACACGCCTTCCTACCAAGAGCCCCTTGTCACGAGCCATTGTGCCCTTGCTCATGGATTCCTCTGCCCTTGGCCCAGCCCGGCCCAGGCCATAGCCAGACTATGGTGAGGATGAAAAGGGTCTTTTCCAGTCCCCGGCTCCCAGACCAGAGCCTGACCCTGGCACTTGCTGAATTGAGGAGGTGACTTGGCTGCCCCTCCCCTGTGGCGGGAGGGCTGCGCCAGAGGCTGCATCCTGCAAGCCTGCCCTCCCGCCTCGCAGACACGCACTGCCCCTCTTCACCTCCCTCCTCAACACCGTGTGTGCCTATGACCCCGTGGGCTACGGGATCCCCTACAACCACCTGCTCTTCTCTGACTACCGGGAGCCGCTGGTGGAGGAGGCTGCCCAGGTCCTCATCGTCACCCTGGACCACGACAGCGCCACCAGCACCAGCCCCACTGTGGATGGCACGACTACAGGCACAGCCATGGATGATGCTGACGTAAGGGCCGGCGGGGCTGCGTCCTGCTGGGGTGTGAGCAGGTGGCATCGTATTGGCAGAGACGCTCAGCAGACACTTCAGGGAGTGGCTAGAGTGTCTGACTTGGGACACTGTTGCTGCCGCCCAGGCCGGGGAGGGACCCGGGTGAGGTGAGGCAACTGCTCACCATGTGCTTCTACCCTTGGCAGCCTCCGGGGCCCGAGAACCTGTTTGTGAACTACCTGTCCCGCATCCATCGGGAGGAGGTGGGTCGAGTGCAGCTCTTGGCCCCTCGAGCCCTCCCCCTACACTTGTCATGGCTTTGCAGGGGCAGGGTAGAGGGGCCCTGGTCCTGGCACGGAGGAACCCTGGCCTCTGTGGACCTGGGCCCCTGCAGGGTAAACAGTGATGATAGACTTCGAGGGTTTTGAGATGAGGGAAGAACCAGTGGTTTCAGCTGGATGAGGTAACCAGGAAGGCTTCTAGGAGGAGGTGGCTCTGATGTCAGGTTTGAGGGGTGGAGGGACGAGAGTGCACGGTGGCCTCAGAGGCCAGGCAGGCCTGCGTGGCTGTGCCTTGTGCCCACTGGGAGGTGCTGGACCCCAGAGCCCCGAGTCCTGCAGCTGTAGGATGGGACTGCAGGGCCGAAGGTGGAACGCAGCCAGCTCAGCATGGGTGCTCAGTAAATGGCAGATCTGTGCAGTGTTCCCCATGGGCGATGGGGTGATGGGAGGGAGTGTTTCAGGGCGCCTATAAATACAGTCCAGGTGGGCAGGGTCTCAGCTCAGAGGGTGCCTGTGGGGTCCCCAGGCGCAGCAGCCTTGCTGAGGGAGTGGGCAGCCCAAGGTGAGGGGGCTCAGCCGCCTGAGGGGCTCACCTGGGGAGCCCCTGATGATGTCAGAGTGTCTCTCAAGCTCAGAGCTGGGCCTGGCTCTCAGGGAGTAGGGAGGAGCCTGTGGGGGCCTAGGCCAGGCAGTGGGGGCTGAGCAGAGCAGGTGAATGGACCCTTGCTCTGTCCTCCCTCGCAGGACTTCCACTTCATCCTCAAGGGCATCGCCCGGCTGCTGTCCAACCCCCTGCTCCAGACCTACCTGCCCAACTCCACCAAGAAGATCCAGTTCCACCAGGAGCTGCTGGTTCTCTTCTGGAAACTCTGCGATTTCAACAAGGTGGGCGGCCTCCGGGACGGGCACTGGGCAGTGCAGATGGAGAGGAGACCCGCAGAAACAGCTGCTGGGCCAGGAGAGGTGGTGCAGGCTGTCGTCCTAGTATTCTGGGAGGCTGAGGCAGGAGTAGCACAACTTTAAGCCGAGCCTGGGCAACTTAGTGACATAGTGAGACTGTCTCAAAATAAAAAATAAGTTGTTCTTCAGTGCAAAGGACCGGGGTTCTATTGCCAGAACAAGGCACACACAAAGAAAGGGGTGGGGTGGGGAGGCAAAGGAAAGGAAGGGGAAGGGAGGGAAGAGGAGGGGTGGAGAGTACCCCCAGTGGGGTCCATGTGGTCCAAGGATGGGTCTCCCTGGCCTGGGGGAGAGGGTGGAGCACAGCCACCCTTCCTGCTGACCCCACTCGCTTGTCCCCTCCCCTGCTCCCAGAAATTCCTTTTCTTTGTGCTGAAGAGCAGTGACGTCTTGGACATCCTGGTCCCCATCCTGTACTTCCTCAATGACGCCCGGGCAGACCAGTGTAAGACCAGGGTGGGCCTGTGACGCAGGGGGAGGGTGGTGGTCTCGGTGATTCAGGTGTCCGGCAGGTCTGTCCCGTCTCCCAGGAGCTCAGGCATGGTGGTATGACCGCCCACGGGAGGCTCCCTGCAGTCCCCCCAGATGCGTCCCCGTGCTGGGCTCCCCTGCTCTTTGTCCTGTGTGACCCCTCCTGTGCTCCGTGCTGCAGCTCGGGTGGGCCTGATGCACATCGGCGTCTTCATCCTGCTGCTTCTGAGCGGGGAGCGGAACTTCGGGGTGCGGCTGAACAAGCCCTACTCGGTGCGGGTGCCCATGGACATCCCCGTCTTCACTGGCACCCACGCTGACCTGCTAATTGTGGTGAGGGGCGCCCACAGGAGGCATGGGGCTCATCTCCTTTTAGCTGAGTCTGGGGGTAACGACCCCCCCACGGCTGCCCTTCTCCCTTCCTGCGCAGGTGTTCCACAAGATCATCACCAGCGGCCACCAGCGGCTACAGCCTCTCTTTGACTGCCTGCTCACCATCGTGGTCAACGGTAGGGGCCAGCGCCCACCTTCCCCGTTCTCACCACTAGGTGGCGCCAGGCCATAGGCCGACCAACCACCTGTTCCGGGCTCAAACCGCTCTCATCCCATAGGCACGGAATGCAAACCACATGTGCAGTGCTAAATTTTCAGTATCATATTAGAAGAATAGCATATTAGAAGAATATTAGAAGAAATAACAAAAGGACAGGTGACAAAATTTTGTAATACAAAAAATTTTGTAATACATTTAATCCACTGTATCTAAATACTGTTATCTCAACATATAGGCAATACAGAAAAATTTTTGGGGGGGTACATCTTAGATATACATAATGATCACATTCGTCATAGGGAATTAGTACCTGTACCTGATAGGCCTTGCTTCTTTTTCCCATTCCCCTGCCCTGCCTTTGGCCCCTCTTCCCCTCTTTATTTACAAAAGCTTTGTTTCCATCTTTTCCTTCTATTCGTTTCTTTTTCTTGTCCCTTCTTTCCTTTCCCTGCCCCTTTCCTTGTTCCCCTTCTCATTTGAATATTTTCTTCCCATTTCCTAATATCTATTATACATTTTGGTCCTTAGTTACACTTTTGGTTTCTCACACCAGAAAAACAACGTGTGTCCATTGTATTTCATTTAAGAGTATGATCTCAAAGTGCATCCACTTAGCTAGAAATGTCTCAAACTTATCCTTCTTTATGACAGAGTAGTATTCCATTGGCCAAGACAAAAAAATTAATGAGGCTTGGCATGGTGGCATATTCCTGTAATCCCAGCACTTGGGGAGGCTGAAGCAGGAGGACTGTAGATTCAAGCCCAGCCTGGGCAATTCAGTGACTTGGTGAGACCCTGTCTCAGAAGGGAGTGTTGGGATGTAGTTCAGTTTGAAGGCCCTGGGTTCAATCCTCAGTATTGAAAAAAAGATCCGTATTCTTTATATTGTGTTTCATGCCCAGTCTTCTAAGTGTTGTGCATGCTGCATGCATGTGGTGCTCAGTTTTGCTGTGTTCTGAGCATGTGACGGCCATGTGGCCAGTGACTGTGTCGCCCAGTGAGGGTTTAGGCGATTATAGTCTAAGTGGAGACGGCAAAGCCGCTGGTCCCTATCTTTGCCCTGGCCAAAAGGTGAGTGGCCGTGGGCTGGGGCAGAATGACCCCAGTGCGGATGTTTGGGGGATGATGGTGGCGGCCAGGTGGTCTGACTCACCCGAGGCCTGACTCTGCCTCCAGGGTGGGTGGGTAGGTCGTACAGGTGCCACAGACCCGTCCAGCTGGGCTACCTTCCCTGCTTACCACTCACTGACTCCATTCCATAAATGAATCTTCTTTCTTTCTGGGTGTGTGTATGGGGGGTGAGATTGGAGATTGAACCCATGGCCTTCACACTGAACTATGTGCCCAGCCCTTTTAAAAACTCTTCATTTGAAACAGAATCTCACTAAGTCACTAAACTGCCCAGGCTGGGCTTGAATTTGTGATCCTCCTGCCTCAGCCTCCCAGAGTGCTGGGATTACAGGCTTATACCACACCTCCCAGCTTCCATCCCGCAGATCTTAACTGAGAGCCACTAAGGAAGGCCGGCTCCGAGAACGCCGCTGTGAACAAGACAGCTCTGCCCACCTCTGAGGGCCTTGAGCGTGAGGGAGAAAGATGGGAGTCAAGGAGGGGCACAGACCGAGCTGTGTACAGAATTTCGTCTCTGGAAAGCTGTGCCAAAAATGCCTATCTAATGTTACAGCAGCTTGACCCCCTAAATCAGAGATGGCGAACCTTTTAGAGCTTCCAGTGATAATCAACCTCTGCCTGCGGCACATGTGCCATAGGTTCGCCACCACTGCCCAAGAATGACTTGTAGGGCTGAGTTTGTATCCCTGCCCAAGCATTTTATTGCTAGGCAACTTGGCCCAGGTTTCTAACCCTCCCTAAGCCTTGGTTTCCTTGTCTGTCAAATGGGGGCAATCTTATCCAGGCTCTTTTTCCCTCATAGGGAAGAAGGACCAGGAGAGAGAGAGAAGATATATATATGGCTTTGTAAAAAGGACTGCTGCCAGTAGGATGCGGTGGTGCCTGCTTGTAATCTCAGCACTCTGGGAAGCTGAGGCAGGAGGATTGCAAGTTGGAGCCCAGCCTGGGCAACTTAGTGTCACAGCAAGACCCTGTTGCAAAATAAAAAAATAAAAAGGTCTGGAGATGTAGCTCAGTGCAGAGGCCCTGCAGAGGGTTCAATCCTCAGTGCCAAAAACCAACGCACACAAAACCCTGCTGTCCACATGGTCAGGGATGAGGGAGGAGCGCCCTGCCTGCCGGGGCTCTGCAGGGGGCACAGACAGAGTGAACTTGGCCGCTAGGGCCTTCCTGGCTTTCGGGGGCTTCACAGGCAGGGCCGGGAGGGCTTAGGGGAGCGTGTTGCTCCCCCGCCCAGGCCCAGGTTGTGAGCCGCCGCCGTCCCTTGCAGTGTCTCCCTACCTCAAGAGCCTGTCCATGGTGACCGCCAACAAGCTGCTGCACCTCCTGGAGGCCTTCTCCACCACCTGGTTCCTCTTCTCTGCTGCCCAGAACCACCACCTGGTCTTCTTCCTCCTGGAGGTCTTCAACAACATCATCCAGTACCAGTTTGACGGTGAGGCACCAGCCTGGGGGGCCCCTGGGCATTGCCTCTGGGGCGGCTGCCTGGGCACTGGCTTCCAGGAGGTGTCCCCTGTGGCTGCACTTCCGCTAATGGACGTGCATGTATTGAGCACCTGCTGTGCACCTGGGTGAAGGCGAGACTGTGCTGCCCCAGGGGCTCACAGCTGGGGGTGGAGGATCCGGGAGCTTAACGCAGACAATGGCCTGGTCAGAGAGCGCCTCTGCAGGCCGGTAGCAGGCAAGTTCAGAGTGGTAGGAGCTGTCCTTCCCAATATCACAGACACCGGCTGCCGCTCCTTACCTCTGTGACGGTCCACATGTTACTTCACTTCTCCGGGCCTCAGTTTCCTTACCTGTAAGGTGGTCAGACTAATAGGGATCTTAGAGGGTGTCGGGAGGAGGATGAAATAAAATAACCCACAAAGTAGCACAGTGTCTGGCAACTCAAACGTAAGGAACTGTTTTTATTCCAAAATAAGCTGGGTGCACTGAGAGAGGCTGAGGCAGGAGGATCACAAGTATGAGTCCTGCCTGGGCAACTTAGTGAGACCCTGTCTCAAAAATAAAAAATGAGAAGGACTGTGGATGTAGCTCTGTCGTAGGTTTGACCTTTAGTATTGCCCAAAACAACCAACAAAGAAACAAAAAAACAAAAAAACAAAAAAAACAACTGTGCTTATCTAAGAGTATTAATGGGAGTAATGAGAGCAGAAAAGCATTGTGGGGAGAGAATGGTATGTGGATGTGCAAAGGCCCTGGGGTGAGATGTTGAGTTGAAAGCAGATCAGTGTAGTGTAAAGCAGGACAGAAAGGTGCAGAGGGCACCGAAGGACCAGAAAAACATTTGTGTCTTACCCTGGGAACGTGGAGGTGGGTGATGGAGAACAGGCACATGCCATGGTGGTCTCCTGGGCTCCTCCCTGGCTCAGAGAGAAGGTTAAAATATTTAAGAGCTGGCAGTATGGACAGTGATGGGCTGGTCTAGCCCCCCAGTACCAGGGGTTACTCTTTTTTTTTTCCTGCAGTGGTGAGGATTGAAGCCGGGGCCTTCACACTGAGTTACATCTCTAGCACCCCCCTTTTTCCTTTTGGTTTTTTGAGACAGGGTCTCACTATGTAATTCAGGCTGGCCCTGAACTCACTATGTAGCCCAGGCTGGCCTCCAACTCACAGTGATTCTTCTGCCTCAGCCTCCCAAAGGGTACCGCTATGCCCAGTTCCATTAGTGCTGAGTTGAAAGGTTGTTTTGTTTGTTTGTTTTGTTGAGACAAAGTCTTGCTGCACAGTTCAGGCCTTGAACCCGTGATGTAGCCCAGGCTGGCCTCGAACTCCTGGTAATCCTCCTGCCTCAGCCTCCCAAATGCTGGGGGCATGTGCTGCCATGCCCAGCGTGGGCTTGTGGGGTCTTGAGGAACCAGGAGAGGGGTGGTCAGGCCAGAAGCTGTTTTCCCACAGCTGGCACACACAGCTGTGCCATCCCTTCCTGACTCCCTCTCCTGGATGCCCTGTACCAACTCTTCCCCTGGGGGCGACACCTTCCTGTCCCGTAGGAGGGGGAGGCGAGGGACCCCCAAGTGGAAGTGTGCTCCCTCCCACAGGCAACTCCAACCTGGTATACGCCATCATCCGAAAGCGTAGTGTCTTCCACCAGCTGGCCAATCTGCCCACTGACCCGCCTGCCATCCACAAGGCCCTGCAGCGGCGCCGGCGGACGCCAGAGCCCCTGTCCCGCACCGGCTCCCAGGAGGGCGGCTCCATGGAGGGCTCCCGGCCTGCTGCCCCTGCGGAGCCGGGCACCCTCAAGACCAGCCTGGTGGCCACCCCAGGTTTGGCGCTGGCAGGCAGGCGGGAGGGGGATGTGGTTCCTGGCATGGTTGGGGAACACCTAGGGGAAAAAGGTGTTGGGGGCTGGGCCGGAGCAGCAGGGGTGGTGGTACTGGGGATCCAGGAATGGGAGCTTGGTGGGGACAGGGCCTCAGAGCTCTGCGACAGGCAGCTACAGGGCTGGGGCAAGGGAGAGGGGACATAGCGCTTCTGCAGTGGGTGGAGGACAGGCAGCCTCAGGGGCCAGGCCGGAAGGGGCACCGTGGGGCATAGTCCTGTCTCCTGCCTGTGACCCTCCTGTGCCTCACCCAGGCATTGACAAGCTGACGGAGAAGTCCCAGGTGTCTGAAGATGGCACCTTGCGGTCCCTGGAGCCTGAACCCCAGCAGAACTTGGCAGAAGGCGGCCTGGCTGAGGGGGTGGGTGACGGGACGTGGGGCGTGTGGGGCAGGGTCTCGCCTTCCTCCCTGGCCTCTGTGATGGGGTCTGGGCCAGGACACTCTGAGGTCACTTGTGGCAGAAGGACAGGTGCAAAGCCCAGGACATCAGGGTTGGCACTGCTGTGGGGGTGGGCAGTTCACTCCCATGTTTCCGGGGCGCAGTAAAGCCTGTGGCCTTTCGCCTCCCCATCCATCAGCCTTATCTGAGGCTGGCCTTTACCCGGCTGGCCCTGTCAGGCCCTGGCCCTAAATCTGTCACTGGGCTGTGCCGGCTGGGCCTGGGGCCCAGGGCAAAGGGTGCTGGGCTGGGCCTGTCCCTCCGTTGGAACTGAGTATCTCCCATGGGGGGCGGTGAAGAGACCTCGCTGCCCTCTGCCCCTGCCCCGCACCCACTCCGTCCCTCCTCTTTTGCCCTCCTTCCTGGGCACCAGGAGCCTGGCCAGGCGAGGGAACAGCGGCGGCTATCTAGTGCATCAGCCAGTGGCCAGTGGATTCCAACAACGGATTGGGTGAGGACCCCACCCTGGAGGAGCAGGGGGAGCACAGAGGTGGGGCCTGGGTCCAGATGCCCGGCCCTTAGAACCGCGCAGCCAGTGCAGATGCGGCTGGCAGTGTGTCCCAGCAGAGGCATCTAGTGTGAGAGCCCGGCTCCACGCAGTCCTTCCAGCTGGGCGACGCTCCCTGTCGTGTGTGGCCTGTCTCAGATCAGCTTCTTCTGTCTACACCATCTGCTCAGTTCCCTGGAAGCACCAAATTCCTATTGCCCATAGCACTGGTTTTCCTAATAAATCACCCCTCTGGTTTCCTTTCCTGAACTGCTGCCCCCTCTGCTTTCCTGATTACACTGGAACAGAGGTGATAACGTCTGCCTGATGGTGCCATTGTGGGTGGTAATGGGGACAGTCTTCCGAAGGCCATGGCCTGGTGACTGGCCTGCAGTACTGCTCAAGGCGCCCCCGGCCCTCCCCATTAGCAACAGCGGATGTTACAGCTCTGCTGGGTGCAGGCCGAGCTACACAGAGCCCCTGGCCCTGAGTCAAGGTCAGAACTGTCCCATAGCCCTGGGGGCTTCCCTCCCCAGATCCTCTCCTGGAAGTCGAAGCTGCCGCTGCAGACCATCATGCGGCTGCTGCAGGTGCTGGTGCCCCAGGTGGAGAAGATCTGTATCGATAAGTAAGACCGGGCTGGGTACTGCTTCCGAGGCACAGGCTGCCTGGGCTTGGGTGGGAGGTGACGGGGACACCGGAGACGTCCATTTCTCACAGGGGCCTGACGGATGAGTCGGAGATCCTGAGATTCCTGCAGCATGGCACCCTGGTGGGGCTGCTGCCTGTGCCGCACCCCATCCTCATCCGCAAGTACCAGGCCAACTCAGGCACCGCCATGTGGTTCCGCACCTATATGTGGGGTGTCATCTATCTGAGGTAGGCTTCCCGGGGGTGGCCGATGACAGTCCTGGGCGGGGCTGGGCTCAGCAGGGACTTCAGCTGTGCCTCCCTTCCCTAATGGACGTCAAGGCGGTGGGTCAAGGGGGCCTTGCCTGGTGGAGCTCAGGCACCCACTGCCCAGGTTGGGACATCGAGACGGGAGGGGCTGATTTGGGCTTTGCTGCCTCCGAGCTCCTCCCCTGGACCTTTTCTGTTCGCTCCACAGGAATGTGGACCCGCCCATCTGGTACGACACCGATGTCAAGCTCTTTGAGATCCAGCGGGTGTGAGCAGGAAGCCAGCAGGGGCTGGGGATGGCTGGGGCGTTGCTCCCGGATGCGCCCTCACTCCTTGCTCTGAACTTTACATGAGTACCATCAGGGTCTGTGGCAGGCGGTGTGGCTGGGTCCCGGGTGGCAGGCCCCAGAAGCCCCTTGGAGATGATCTCTGACCCCCTCACCCCCAGACTGGCCTCCTAGGAGCCTCTGTCTCCAGGGGTGCAGGCCCTGCCAAAGCCCTTCCCCGCTCTGGCTCCCCTTTTGGGACCATTTCTGTGATGACCTCCTCCATGCCCACCTGCTCCTCTGCTGCCCACCCCCAGAAGCCACCAGGGCACCGGGTCAGAAAGAGTTTGCCCCAGAAGGAGCCAAGGGATGGCCCTCGAGGTATCTAGGCAGGGTTGGGGGCCCTCCAGGCCTCTTGTCCTGAAGCCACCTCTTCAACCCCGTGGAAGAAGGAGTATGGCCTGCCCGCTGGCCTGTGAGGCTGGGCACTGGCAGATACAAGTCCAGACTGGGGTTCCTCATGTCTTCTAGGGGTTGGAGTGGGCACTGAGGGTACCCTGCTGTATTCCCTGGGTCAGTGGATAGAGCCTGGCTGATGAGGGGTCCTAGGGGGCAGCTCTTCCTGCCCACCCACTGCCTGGATGAAGGGATGAGTGTTGCCACCCCCCCCAGCTGCCCAGCCCTGGCCTCTGGTCTCCTCCCCCCACCTGTGTCAGTACAATCTTTGCTCTGTACAATCGGCCACTTTACACAATAAACCTCCCCCTCCACTTTCTGCCTCGGTGCTTGGGCTGTGGGTTTGGGTATCAGCCATGACTCTTATCTTCAGGGCAGCCGGAGACTCTGTACCACAGCGTCAGTCCTGAGTACCTTTTATGCATGACGGAGAACAGAAATGTGTCATTTTCTTGGGTGTAAAAGCAGTATCGGTCCCTGTCACCAGAGACAAGCCCATACAGGAGAGATCCAGGCGGGCTGACCCACAGACCCCTACATGTCCCCGGCAGCCACTGAAGCAGTGATGGGGGCCCTGGGGGATCATCTCTGGCCTCATGGGAGCAGGGGACAGGGCCGCACTCCCTGGGCCTCACCTTGGCACAGCTGCTGTTTGCACTGGGCTCAGGGAGATGGATGGGCTGTCAGTGGCTGCCTTCTCACCTTCCTGCCCCACCCCAGGGCTCAGAGTATCATGCAGGCCTGGGACCCACCACCATGGTGAGCCAGCTGCAGAGTCCCTCAAGGCTCGCCTCAGAGAGGAGGTGGCCTTGCGGGGTAGAGGTGAGGACTACAGGAGCCCCGGCCCATCTCTCCCCACTGTGTTTCATGGATCAAAGAAAGGATTGGTTTAGACCCTTCCTGACCCAGGAATGGGACTGTCCCCAGGCCACAGCCCTACCCAGGACAACCATTCTTCTCACCATGCCTGGAGTGTCAGGTCTACTGCTGGGAACAAATGCCATGAAGCCTGAGTGCAATCGATCAAACAAACAGTGTTTATGGTAGCAAGAGAGAGCTGTTGAGCCCCGCCTGGCAGCTAATTAATTAGCTCATTAGAAGACTGGGCGTGTGGGGAGAGCGGGGCAGGGCTGCTTGCAGAGCTTGGAGCTGGACCTCTGATCTCCCTGGATGTTCTGGGCCAAGCTTGGACTCCATGGCCCTCGTAGGAGGAGGCCGGCCCTGAGGCCTGGCTGGAGAAGGGTGCCCCCTCCTGCACCCCTGGTTCTATTATTTAGATCTGACTCTTTCCGAGAGTAGCGGTGGGGGTCCTTGACAGCTTTCTGAGGTGCATGCAGCCTATGCTGCACAGATTGTGATGGTAAGACAGGAGGCAGGCATGTGCCCAGGCCTGGGAGTGGGCATCCAAAGCTGTATCTAGGCTCTGGCCTTGGTCTTGGGCTACCGGCAGTACCCTCCTCTCTCAGGAAGGGGCAGGCTTGGGGGGCCTCTGCACCTCTTGGAATGAGCCAGCTGCCCAGAGACTTGGCATTTCCCCTGCCTTGGTTTTTTGGGGTGCTGCTGAGAGTGGGTGTTTTGGAAAGCTCAGGCCCCCAAGTAGACCTCTACCAGCCCCCCGACAGAGTGCATGCGGTAGAAGACCCCCAGGGGCAGGCCAAAATTGACAATGGTGAACCATGTTCGATAGCCGTAGAATTCCTTCTCCAGGCCATTTTCGAACTCCGGGTGGATGCCAAACGCAGGCATCATCCACAGCTGTGGGGCAGGAGAGGAGAAGGTGAGTCGGGAGGGTGCTTTCCTCGCCCCAAGGCACTCAGCTCGGGGAAGGCTGGCCCCAGAACCTGTGGTCCTCCAGCACCGCTCCCACCCCATCATCTTGGGCTTTCTGGGCAAGCTCCTCTCCGCCCATGTCTTCTGGGCCCCATACTGCAGAAGCCTCAGCTGCCTCCCTGGTGTGCCCGGGACAGCCTGAGCTCCAGATGGAGCAGGAGCCCCCCAGGCTGCCTCCACATGTGGTACATGGCGAGACTTCCCATCCAGCAGCTGCTCTGCCAAGCTGGGCTCCCTGGGCCCTGAGCTCAGGCTTCACGCTCCTGCTAGTTACAGACTCACCCTGTCCCCTTCTGCCTTCCTGTCCAAATTCTCTCCATCCTGTAGGCCCAGGTCAGACCTTCCTGATGCCTGCTTTGGCCATGTGGGTTCACACTTTTTCTCTGAGCTCCTACTGCACTTTAGACCAATTTATTACTTTTCTGCCTGGACCTAGGGTTTCACATGTGGGGTGTGTTTTAAGTGCATTACAAGTTGGGGTGAAAGCTTTCCAAAATACCCACTATCAGCAGCACCCCAAAGGGTCAATGCAGGGGAGATGGTAGCCCAAGTCTCTGGGCAGCTGGCTCATTCCAAGAGGTGCAGAGGCCCCCCAAGCCTGCCCCTTCCTGAGAGATGAGGGTACTGCCGGTAGCCCAAGACCACGGCCAGAGCCTAGATACAGCTTTGGATGCCCACTCCCAGCTTGTAATGCACTTAAAACACACCCCACAATGTTGTCCCAACACTGTCATTTAAAGGCTGTAGAATATTGGGCTAAACAGCTCCTAAGCCTCAGTTTCCTCATCTGTCCAGTGAGGACAGTGCCTGTTGTTCTGGATTACTATGATGACATGATGAGATATTGTATGGAAAGGTGGGCCTGGGACTTAGCCACCAGAAGCTAAGTGATCACCATCTTTCACTAGGAGTTTTAGAGAACTAGGCACCTTATGATCTCTTCTTATGATTGAATTCTGTGTACGAATTCAGTGGTAATTCTCTAACTGGTCCCCTGGTGTTTTCCCAGCTAGACAGTGAGCTTTGGGGGCTTGGGCTTGGGGTAGAAATCCTATTTGTGTGGGAGGAGCCCTCAGCTATGTGCTTGGCACATTCATTCATGCTGGGCAGCTTGAGGGGGGACACTTCCTGTTCTCCAGCAGCATCAAGCTAGTTGGGAAGGGGCATGTGAGCTTGATCCATTCCTCCCTGAGGGAGGATGCTGGGTTCCTTTGGCTCCCCGTCCCCATATGTCCCGGCACCCACCACTCACTGTGATATTGCAGAGGATGAGAAAGAGTGAGATCTCCTTGAGGATGCGCCGCCTCCAGTTGAGGTGGCTGTAGGAGTGGATGTAGGCCAGGGAGGCCCTCCGCAGGTCCTGGCCCAGCTCCAGCAGGGAGCCCCTGCGGGAGTGCTCGGCCTCTGGCTTCTCTGCCAGGCCCCGGGGAGCCGCCTCCCACAGTGGGCGGCGGTGCAGGCCCTCGATGATGAAGAGGTTCTGGCTGATGTGCTGCAGGATGAGCAGCAGCGAGTAGGCCAGGATGAGCTGGTTGAGCAGCTCACTGGGGTGAGTGGCTACAATGGCCACGATGGAGAAGTAGGCGATGCCCATCTGGCCGAGGGCAGCGCCCATCAGCAGCACCACATCCAGGCTGCGAGTAGGGTTCTTGAGTGTGTCCAGCTCACGCTCCTCCAGCCCGTGGATAGCCGTGCCTGCCAGGCATGCCAGGCTCATGGCCGGCAGCACAGCCACGTAGAAGGCGTAGTAGAGGGTAAAGTACTGGCGGGCAATGTTGGGGCCACTCGCCTCGATCTGGAAGAGCACAAAGACGCACATGCCTGCCACCAGCACCAGCAGGCCCAGCAGCGGCCCAAAGATGGCCCCGTGTAGGCGGAAGGGCGGGGAGCTGGGGTGCGCGCCCACGTGGGCTGCCAGCCGGCGGCCTACATTCTTCCACATGACGAAGAGCACAGCGCAGCAGATGAGGCAATACTCAGTGCTGAAGGGATAGAGCATCAGGTAGCCCTTCCGGAAGACCTCGCACACTGTGCCGTTGAGGCACAGACAGGTGTTGGTGCCGTTGCCTGGGAGTGGGCAGAGCAGGAGGCCACTTTCAGGCGGGTCCTGTTTTGAGAAAACTGGTGGCACCAACCACCCCCGCCCCCACCCCAAACTTGCGAGAGGTGGGAGGGATCAACCTGCTCATTCTACAGATGCGGAAACATCGGTGGCCCGTCACAGAAACTGGAAATCACAGAATGGTCACTCTTTTACAAAGGGATTCAAGACTTTAGGTAACAAGGTTACATAAAGCAGTTAAAACATGGTGTTCCTGGTGTCCATACGTCACCACCACAACTCACTTGCTGGGCAGGGCACACTTACTGTGTGCAATGGAGGATCTGGCTCCCACACTTGGGCGCAGTGATGGCCTCAGCAGCACACACTGGGGTAGTGAGACCTCAGTGCCTTTCGACCAGCTGACTTTCAGAGTACAGGGGACCACCAGGGAAATGCAGATGCCAAAATGTCTAATCTGAATCTAATTGAGACTTTGGCCCATTCTTTCAATTTCTAGGAAGAATGGGACAGGGGCACAAGTTAAATGCTACCACTAAGAAGCAACTAGACAAATCTCAATGGCAGCAGGGAAAAAGAGATGTAATAGTCTTAAGTAAATGTGCTGCATGCTTGAACGAACCATCTGCATAAGACCTTTCCTGGATTAACTGGAGAAAGCAGAATACAGATTGATATAGAGGCTTGGGATGATGTTAAGGCGTTTCACTGGCAATTGAAATAGCATTGGTGGGCTGGGAATTTAGCTCAGTGGCAAAAGCACCTGCCTGGCAAGTGCAAGGTCATGAGTTCAGTTCCTGGTACGGGGGGTGGGGAGGAGGTGAAATAGCATTGGTAATGTAGGGAATTACACTTTTTTTTTTTTTCTCTTGAGACAGGGTCTGGCTATATAGTTCAGGTTGGCCTTGAACTCTCTAGGTAGCCCAGGATGGCCTTGAAGCTGTGGTGATCCTCCTGCCTCAGCATCCTCAGTGCTGGGATTACAGGCACGTGCCACCACTCCTGGTAACCCTTATTTTTAAGGAGATGTATACTGAAATGTTTTGAGATCAAATGCCATGATTTATGAAATTTACTTGGCAAAAAATTAAAATAAATGTAGCAAAATGTTAATCTTTGTTACATCTAGATGATGGCTATATTCTGTTCTTCAACTCATCTATACATTTGAGTTTTTCAATTAAAAAAACCCCATGATGTCACTTGCCCCAAATTCCCTTTAAACAGTTTTTTTTCTTTAAATGTAAACACAGCTTAAGGAGTGCCCACAGTGCACAAGCATGCCATGATTTATGGAATGGGTGCGCAAAAGCGTGTGTGCTGGGAGGGCTTGGCTGGGAGGGTGGGGTGGGGAGTAGACACACAGGTGGGGCTCAGTCCCATAGATCAGAAGGTTCCCAAGCGGCGTTATGAAATGTAGCTT